GGGATATAGCCCCATCATAGAGTGCTGACAATAGATCACTGGGTCCATTACAGTATAATCTAAAAAGCATTTATTAAGTGCCTACTGTGACCCTAAATCACTGCACTAAATGATGGGAATAACAAAGCCAAAATGAAAGACAGTTCCTGCCCTCAAGGAACTTACATCTTGCTTGTGGTGGTGGGGGTGAGGGAGAGACCAGATGTAAATAAATAAATATGTATGTAAGAGGTCATTGTGGAGAAAGTACCAAGGCTTAGGGGAATCAGGAAAGGTCTCCTGTAAGTCATAGCACATGAGCTGAACTGAGGCATCCAAGAAGTCTGGATAACATCTGAATTACGTCTTAGGAATAAAAGCATGATAGTGTCCACAGCCTACATCTCTAAAGATGTATTTGTCACCTACTGTGGGGAAGGTGGATGTAGTGCAGTGAAGAGAATGTTGGCCCTAGAGACAGGAGATGTCTGCTCCAAATCCCCACCTCTGACAGGTTCAAGAGCATGTGGGACCTTGGGTTAGTCACAACCACTTAGACTAATTTTCCGATGTCTCTGGATTATGACATTTACAAGACAAGGTTTTATGAAACTCAAATGAAAGAGTCTTTGTAAAGTTCTCCATAAAGATGTATTGTTAGTTACCTTATGTATACTCTTTGTTTACTTGTATGTGATGCACTTTTCCCTTTAGCATGCCAACGCTCCAGTGCCTAACACAGTGCCTGATACTCAATAGATGCTGAGTAAATGCTTGTTGATTGATTCCCATAGGCCAAAAGAGTTTCAGATTGTAAGTAATCATTGTAATTCAACAAGATTTTTCTCCCCTGAATGTACACCTAGACAACGCATGGCATCGATGACCGACAAATAATAAGAACCTGGTATGCCTGGGCTAAGACCAAAGAGCCTAAGGAAGAATAATGTTTTGCTGTCTTCTTATGGGCTAATCAGTACTGAATAACTGCCAGACTGAACACAGTTCAAGGCATGTTTACTCCCAAAACATGAATAATTAAGACAGGACGGCCAACTCTGATGAGGAAATGGATTGTGAACCAACTTAAATTGTGACTTTACACCAGCTACATTGGCAGTAGAGCAGAAGGCACTTCACACATCTCTGGTACCAACGGGCTTCATGGGGATGGATGGTGTGGTGAGCTCCTCCAGGATGGAGACTCTTTGGCCTCTTTTCTTATCCCTAGGGCTTAGCACACTACCTGGCACATAGTAGGCACTTAATAAATGTTTACTGAATTGAATTGAAAGTGGGGAAATTTGGCACCAACCGCTCTTAGATGTGCCATCATCTTCCTTTGATTGGTTGCTGTTTGATCATTAAGACAAATCCAGAAGTCTCTGTGTGAATTGAGGGCTCCTCATATTGGTTCTTCCTTTATGTAAATACAAGGACACTTAGTTTGGAGATGCAGGACCTGAGTTTGAATCTTGGCTCTGCCATTTACTAGGTAGGGGACCCCAGGTATGTCCCTTAACCTCCTTGGACTTCAGTTTCTTAATCTGTAAAGATGAGGAGGTTGATTAGATTATGCATGTTGCCAACTATCAAAAAAAATCTATGATTCTACAACACTTCCTCTGGGCTACTTCCTTACACCCGCATCTTGCACTGACTTGCAGGGTGGGGGGTGGAGGGTATTACTACTCTCACGGTGTAATGATTAACCATGTGTGACTACCTTCCTATAACTACATCAGCTGAGTTGGAGGAGAGCCTCCAAAACCAGCTCCCTTACTAATCAACGATCCAAAGTATACTATGAAAATGCATTTACTCTATTATTCATTAATGCAGTTAAAATAATATGGGGTATGCCGATGAACAACTTCCAAAAAAGTACTCTAACCAGAGGTGGTCAGCCAGCTTAAGAATGTGCACACAGACCTCTAACCCCGATACACTTCTATTCCAGATACTTTTAAGACTTTTTTTGCATACTGAGTACAAGTTTAATTCCTTTTCCTGGCATTGCAGGCTCTCTACAAATTGGTATCACCTTATCTTTTCTACCTTAATTCATATAACCACCTGCATACATAGTATGTGCTAGTCAAACCAATATGACTTTTTTTCCCTGCAGACATCATGCACCTTGTATTTGCTCATGCCATTGTCTCTGCTGGTTGTCCTTCCTTGCCAGTTGACATTCTATCCACTCTTTAAAGTTTAACTCAAAGGCCAAAACCTTCATAAACCTTCATGATTTCTACCATCAGTCATATTCCTTGGGCTTCAGAGACTGTTTTTCAACTCTCCAATCAACAACCAATGAATCAGTCAGTCAAGAAGCATTTGCTGAGTGCCTAATGTATGTGTGGCAGTAGGCTATTCAAGGTGACTGGGATAACAAGAGAAAGATGAAAAACATTCTGCCCTCAAAGGGCTTACATTCGAACACCTCAAAGACACTCCCTACATAGTACTGCATTTTGTAATGGGTACAGGTCCAAACCCCACAGTACTGCCTCTGACATGTATTCATTTATAACCAGGGCTAACTCACTTAACCGTTCAGTGCACAGACAAGTCCCTAAGACTGAAAACTACTGAAGTGATTCTGATCTTTCTAGGTGGAGAGGGTCTTCATTCCAGCAATTCTTTATAATAATTAACTAATCCTTTGGACCATATATATAGTAGATGCAGATGAGTTAGAAATGCCAAGATAGGGATAGAGCAACAGCTGTACGTGTAGATGCACACACACAAATGTAGTTATACATTTTCTGTCTTTTGTATTGTAAGTCTTAAAGAACTATAATAAAGAAAGCTACTATAATTATCTCTTTATTTGTCTTTGAACTTAATGATGGCAGTGACCATTTTTTTAATCTAAACTTTGAATCTGCCTCACATATAGTACAATGTTCTGTACAATGGGTAGTTGAATAGATAGATGGATGGGTAGATAATCAAATTTTCTTCATTTTAACTGTAAAGAAAGGCTGAGGTTAGGAGTCAACACTTAAAGATACGTCGAGATTGCATCTCTTAATGATTTTATTCCTTAATAAATCAGCACCCTGGATGTTCTGAGGGTAGCTTTCTCCTCTGTTTTTGCCACTGGTTCTTATGTAGGGTCTATAGATTTTCACACACACAAACGCATGCACACACACACACGCACACACACGTCATTTATTTTCTAACAAATTCGAAAATGACAATTATTTTGGCTGAATAGTAGCTAAATAACTTAGTATAAATTTATTAAGTGCCCACTATGTGCCAGGCATTGTGCCAGAGGATGCAAATGTAAAGAATGAACCAATCCCAACTCTCAAAGACGGTATGATATGAAGGAGCTTATAATCATTTGGTTAAAAAAACCCATTGTGTCCTTAATTAAATCAAAGAATGCACCCAAAGCTTGATTAGGCACTCAGGGAGTAGATTCTGGTGTTTTATCATGCTTTTCCCCAATTAGAGCTGATGCTTGAGTGTGCTTTTGCAAGCAAGCTGGCCTTGTAATGGCTTCTCACAGGTTCCTAGAAAGAAGTCAGTACCTTCTTAGGCATTTTTGTGGCCACTCCAACTATGCTTTTAAAGGATGACAGATGGTTTCCTTAGAAAGGTAGGCACATTTGCACCCAAGATGCTAATGGCAAAAAATACATATATAATACAGTACAGTAAAATGCATGACATTTGTTGCTGTTGAGCTCCTGCGATGAGGATCTGGACAAAGGAGAGAGACTGTGGGAGCCGCTGCTCTTGGCAGCTTCCCACAGAATGAAGATGGAGAGAAGCAATATGCTTACAGATGTTGATATGCCTGTTGCCATGACAACGTAAGTCGCTGTCTTTGTGGCTGTTGCTGTGATGGCAGCAGCTGGCTCTGACTCCATCTGTTGTCCTGACTATAGCATCTGCCTCTACCTTTGCTGCTATGTGTCTAGCCTGGGCCCCTTGCCCTCTCCTCAACTTCTGCTTTCTGTATGTTTGCAACATCTGCTGCGATTTGTCTGTGTTTGGTACATGCGGCTTTGTGTACAGTTTATAGGAGCATCCATTTTGGATGACAATTGTATTTAAATTGTACTCAATTCAGGGGTCGTAGAAGCATAGCTTCCAGAAGGAATGAGGCGACATTATCTCTGCACTCTTACTTGATCAGGTCAACACTAGGGTATTGTGTTCAGGTCTGGATTCCACATGTTGGGATGGACATCGTCATGCTCAAGAATGTGGAGAAGAGAGCGACCAGGTTGGCTGAAGTGTCAGCGAGTCAAGAAGCATTTACTAAGCACCTCATATGTGCCAGGCATTGTGCTATGTGTTGGGAATACGATAAAATCAAAAGATAGGCTTTGCCTGTAAGGAACTCACAGTCTAATGGGAGAAGAGAACACAAAAAGAAGCCAAAAGGTGGGGAAGCAGGGCACCAAGCTGGTCCTGGGACCCTTCTGTAAATGGAGGAGGTGGAAGGAGCTGTCCATCGTGTCCAGTCAGAGGAAGGGAGAGGGCCCCGATCTCGGGGGGACTGAGGAATTGGAAGTTTCAGAGTTTATGAGATCTTGTAGAAAGATGATTCACTGGAGAAAATTATGAAGTCCAGGAGCTTGGCCACAAGAGGGCTTACATTCATGTGAAATTAAAATTAATGGAAAGAACGGGAGATGCCTGAAAAATAGCCGAGTTAGTAGAGTGTCACAATATATGTCTTCCAATATTTGAATGACTCTCCCATTGGATTTATTCTGCCTGGTCTCATAGAGATAAATCAGGAGTAATGGTTAGAAGTTAAGAAGAGGTGGATTTAAGCTTAATCTCAGTAAAACAAAACAAAACAAAAGATAACAAAAGAAAAAAATCCTAATGGTTGGAACTCTCCCAAAATGTGTACCTTAAAAAGTCTTTAAGAAAAACCTTGATAGCCACCGAATAGGTGTGGTATAGAGGGAACAGTTGAGCAGATGCAATTCAAATGAGGTCCCTTTTGAAATTCCATGATTCCTTGACATATCCCTTACCTGTGAAAAGCTGTTTCACTAAAGATGTTTTCCTTTACCAGACTTTCTGTTCCTGACACTTGAATTATTTCCTTGGCAACTTCAAATTTTCCATTGTAGCAAGCCCTAGGGTTAAAGAAAATATAGGTTCTTTTTTTAAATGCTAGGAGAGTCACATAACATACCTTGTAGACCCAAATGCCAATTCATCATACTCACAAGTGCAAAGGTGTGTCTCCATAGATATTAGCTATGTGTGGCTGAACTTCAAAATCACTTTGGAGCAGAAACTTTACAATATCCTCGTGTCCAAATCGAGAGCAGAAATGGAGAGGTACGTGGTCTTCATTATCTTGGGCATTCACTGTCATCAAAGACAGAGGATGGAACAGGTTATTGTGATTGTTTGTCATCCAGTTTCCCTTTGAGCAATTGCTTAATACCATGTCCTGTGTCCGTGATGTCCTCAGTAAATTCTAATTCAGGTTGATTCAATTTGGTTCAACTCAATGAGCATTTATCAAGCCCCTCATGCGGGCTCATGTGCTATGTGCTGGGCATACAAAGGAGAACACAGCAAAATCAGCATATTAAACTCTCACTGTTGCCCTCAATAAACTCGGATTCAAGTGACTGGATATCCCATCCCTCAGCCTTCTCTCCCCTCTGATTGAACTTTATGTGAGATCCACAAAGAGGAAAATGGACTAATTGGCTAATGGGAACTATGAGTTTACACTTTGATCACATGTTGCCAAAGTCTGATTCTAAATCTCTCAGAAACTTTGGCTTACCAGAGGAGAGTTCTCCTAGTTTTAGAGGTATGATTTATATCAACAATTCTTACTGTAATACATTAGTAATACCTTTTAAAAAGGTAATTAAGGCTACTTGATTGATAATGAGGAGGATACTAGATGAAGGCTTGTGGGTTCCAATATTACAAATCTGTACTCTTCAAGATTACCCCTAGTATTCTGAAGGGTGGAATAGTTAGTTTCTCTTTGGGGATTCAGCTGACCTATTTGAATGGGACTGGAAATGGCTCTGGAAGTGACACTACCCTGATAGAGATTTGGAGGGTTTCCTCCCCACTAACAAAGTTTCCAGTGAGGCCTATAGGGAGGTGAGAGTATTGCTCCCCATATTACATTATTGAACTGATTTTTGAGACTATGCCTAGGACAATTGGCTTAATTATCAGGCCAGAGAGTCTTGTAGTGGGCATGCATATGCAAAGTTACATCTCACAAATGCTAGAGATAGTAACATGCTAACATGGAATGGTTAACATGGAAGCCATTATGATTATCTCACTTTTTAACTTGTCTCTTGAATGTTCCTGCCATATTTGGGGCAGTGTTGTTGAAGGCTGAGAAATGGAAAAGACATAGAAAAGCCAAGAGGTATAAGCCCATGTAACAGGGTGACAGCACAAGGCTCATCTCAAACACTGCCTGATAGCACTGTTGCTAGTGCTCCCCAACTAGGTTGTATTTACTTTGTAGTTATTTTATTTACTTATCTGAAACCCTGCCTGTATCCCCTCTTCCCAATTCCAGTAAATGACATGTTTCTGAGGGCAGGGACTGTTTTATGGTATTTGTGTTTTATTCTATTGTTTCATTGTTTTTGTATCCTAAAGTATATAGGCCAATGGATGAAGTCTAATACAACCATAGCTCCAGATCATCACTGGGAATCAGCATACATAGCAGGCCTTGACAAATGTTGGCTGATTTGAATTATTGATAGGAGAGAACATTGCTTTTGGTGCTACTGGCCATGAGAACACCACTCATCCATGACTCTAGTGCGGCAAACTCCAGAACTGTATCAACCATGTTATAAATATATATTTTAACACAACTGCAAATTGGAGAAAAACCAGGGATACTTTCAAGTCTTACTTTCCCTGCTCTAAGCAGATTCAACAGGGGTCAATGGAAGAAAGACTTATGGAAGACTGTGCATATCCCTTAGACATTGAGGCATCCTGGTAATGAATGGTCTGGCCTCACAGACAAGAGGAAGTGGCTTCATATCTGTCCTACAAAATTTACTAGTTTTGGGATTCTGGACAAGCTAATCACTTACACTACTTTTGCCCCAGATAACTGTCTAGGACTTTTTGATATAGTAATTCATAGTTGGTAGTGCTCAGCATTGTAGATAGGGCTTTCCACCTTGATAAAATTGCAGAACCTTGCATCCTCCGAAGGGTGTGCTGGGCCATGCATAACACCCTCTTATTGGGATGGAATTAATGAGATTCCTTTGGAGAGAGTACAGGATGAACTAGGTGACTTGTGCTTTTCGACAAAAGGCAGTGCAGCATAATTGAAAGAACACTAGAAACAAAGTCAGGAGACCTGAGTTTAAATCCTCCCTTTGCTATTTTCTGCCTGAATGACTGTGTAAGTCACAGCTTCTCTAAGCCTCAGTTTCCTTATCTGTAAAACAAGAAGATTGGCTTGGATAGAATCTATGATCTCTTCCAGCATCTACACTTGATGATCTTATGGATGAATGATCTCTAAGGTAACTTCTAACGTTAAAGAGTCTCGGATTTATAATTTGATAATTAAACAAGTATAGCTGATGTTTATATAGTGTTTTAAAGTTTAAGGTTTAAAAACTGCTGTTGTCTAATATCTCCTTTAATGAGTGTTATGTTCCCTGTCCTCTAGGTGTTTAAAATCCAACTTGGAAGACAAGATTTACACATACATTTATTAATTAAAATTAATTAAAAATCACATTGAGGAGGAAAATAATCAAGTGCCAAAATACAGTAGTGTTCTTCGTTTCTGTTCTTGTGTTTGTTTTGTGCATTTCTCAGTTATTATTTTGAATCAGAATGAGCTCACTATTAATATTTCTAGGAGGAACTCTGTTTTCTCTTTCCTGTACAAATGAGAGACACAGTACACCATAGTGGGTAGATGCTGGGTTGGGAGTCAGGAAGAAATAGACTGAAATGGGCCTCAGTTTCCTCAAGTGTAAAATAAAGGTGGAGGCAGCTCGGTACGGCAGTGGATAGAGGAAGATTCATCTTCCTAAGTTCAAATCTGATCTCAAACACTTGCTAGCTATATGACACTGGGCAAGTCATTTAACCCTGTTTGCCACAGTTTCCTCATCTGTAAAAATGAGTAGAAGAAGGAAATGGCAAACCACTCCAGTATCTTTGCCAAGAAAACCCCCAATGGGGTCATGAAGAGTTACATGTGAATGAAACAACTGAACAATAACAACAAATCAAGGTGTTGGGCTCAGGAATCTCTAAGGTCCTGCCCAGCTCTAAATCTATGGTCCTCAGATAATCAATTCACAAATTCTTAATGATGCATATGTCTGAGCTCTTGCCAGGTGTTTAGCATTTCATCTTCCCCTCAGTCATATTAGATGGCATTACTTCTACTCTGGGGAAACCAGATATAATCCTATGATATTTACTCATGTAAATCCACTGCCCTTTCATGTTCTTATTAGCACCTTATTGTAGGAGGTTAGTAGGTTCTGTAGTGAACTCCATAAGTGCACAAAAAGTAGTGAATAGATTATTCTTCAAGATCAAACTTTTAAAATTCTTTAAAGTTTTATTTTCCACTCAGTCTGGCTTTTCAGTGTTTATTTTTTTAAAGAAATGAGTATTGAGATTGGAATATAAGGTGATTTTTTATTTGCGCTATAAATTTTCTATGTTGTGACATTCCTGTCTTGATTAATTTCATCACAAATTTGTAAATTAATTTGGTAAAATGAATGTCCACAAAAAAATTCCCAGTGACACTCCTATTGCTTACAGAACAGTATTTTATATAAAATGGGTCCATTTTGGAGAGTGTCTAAAAAGATTGTCATCAAAATAATTTACTTATATGATCTCTAATATACAGAGGCTCCAAAACCCAAGAAATAATATTATGTGGGGACTTCAGTGTTCACAAGAAATGACTGGTTAGAAATCAGTCAATAAAATGTGTTTTAAGCATCTACTATGTGCCAGTCATGGACAATACATATTTTGATTCACATTTCAATGGAAAAATCAAGGAAAAATGACTAAATAAATGTCTCAAAGTAGTCACACATTTTGTGTTATGCAATTGAAGAAACATTAGAATGAAGTGCTTAGAATCAGGAAAACCTGGTTTCATGGCCTGGCACATTGCAGATGCTTGCTAAATGTTGACTGATTGTCTGACCAATCCTTGCTAGATATGTGACCACAAATGTTCCATTTTATGTCCCCTATATATGAGTCTCCATCCACCATCTCTATCCCTTTTCAGAAGCTAGCACCTCTGCCTGGTACGCTCTTCTTCATCACAGTCTTTTGAAGCCCCTTCAACTCATGGGCCACCTTTCGAGGCTCTCCCCATTATGAATTCCCTCTCCCAAAAAAAGTCACTCTGTATTCATTTTGTACATTGATTTTATTTTCAAACCGGTGTCCAGCTTGTTTCCCTCTATTAGAACGGAAATTCCTTGAAGTCAGAGTCTGTATGATTTTTATCTTGGTATCCAGTACTTTATGCAAAGGAAGAGTTTAATAAATGATGGTTGAATTTATGAAAATTCACCCTCGGAAAGTAAATTAACCACTCTGAGCTGTAATTTCCTTATCTGTAACATGAGGATAAGAATCAACCATAGCACCCTCCTTTCAGGTGTGGTTGTGAGGCTCAGATGAGATAGTATTTACAACAGGCTTTTTAATCCTTCAACCTTATGGTAAATTAGCTTGTGCTGTCCCTGTTACTATTATCACCACCACCTCCACCCCTGCCATCATCATCATCACCATAATTATGATTAAAATGAGAAAGGCAATGGCGCATAGTGCAATAGTAAATAACAAATAGAAATTGATCTCTGAGGGCTGCATATTGACTTGGAAAACCAATAATTAACATTGTCTATGTTTTATTATATTTTTCTTCATTTTGCTAAATAGTTTCCAATGACATTTTAATCTGATTTGTTTTGCTTTCAGAGGTATTAGAGGTTTGAGGCTGCCACTTTAACACCTCCATTGTAGTGGATAGAGAGCTGAGGTGGGGAAATAGGATCCTGTCTTTGACAAATCCTGTCTGCACAACCCTGGGCAAGTCACATGGCCTCTCAATGCCCTACATACTTCCCTAAGACTGTTATTTGCAGGAAAACTGCTATTCCCATCAATACAGGAAGTTTATCATGGGAGTTCCTTCTCCAGTGAAATCGCATGTCTGTTCAAAAAGAAAATTATTATAATTCAATATCTATGTTAATCTTTCATTTCAAAGGTTCATGGACCCAAGAAAACAGATCTATAAGATTTCTTATATAAAAAAATCATGAGAAAGTATGTTTAAT